CACAAAATTATTGATCCAGAAGAAAAGTCATCTACTGTTTTCCATGAAGTGGTACATGATCGGAAAATGAGGTGAAACTGGGTAACAGTTCCAATATTGAAAATGATTGCATGGGAGGTTTGAATATACATTCAAATCCTATAAAACATGACTTATCATGCGTATCCAAGAAAATACTTTACATGAACTTAGAATTCAAAGGGGACTTAGTTTCCGATATCATGAAACGAAGGATATCACAGTCCCTGAAAAGAACATTCCCTGCTGCATCTCTGAGAATAGCCCTTATTAGTCGACCATTACTGTTCAATAACCTGAAGGACAAGATCCTGCTGCTGACCAACTCTATGTGGGCTAGAGTTCACTCATTGAACTCTCATTCATCCAGCCATCACCATTTCACGTAACTCAACGACTCTTTCAGAAATGTAAAACATTTTGTTATGACTACATTCAAACAATGAGAAAATAGGAGATTAAATAAATTTTGTCATAAAGTTATGTAGGTACCATGAAAAACAATAGGTGATACATTTTGTTGTGAATGCTACTTGCAAATAAGAATGTCTCACAATGTTGTACATTAATTTAATTAGTCCTCCATCAGGAGTGTAAACTTAAAACATTTATACAGCTTTTACCACTAGTCATTGCAACATTAATTGACGATATCTTACTTTACCTATCCTGCTTATTTATAGAATTGACACAGTCATGACTGATTTAGGCTGGAAGCGAACATTTGATCGTTATGCTGACTATACTCTTCGATGGACTGAAAACACTATTCAAATCAACTATGGAACTTTTAAGGAAGGTGAACAAATTGTGAGTTTTTGTGAGTAAATACACCGTTTTAAATTTATAATAATTGTAATATTATTAGAATAAAAGGTGAATATGTTAATCGTAAGAGTTTTAGCTTAAGTACTTAGTATGTACCTGTATGCCTCTAATCACATATATGAGTGAGATCTTTAGTGTATGAAGGTATCAAATTATATTTAAAAGTTAGTGGATCCGGTTAAGCTTTATGTATTTTGATCGGATAAAGTTAACTGTGGATCTTATTTTCCCACCACTAACTGAAATTAAAGTCTAAAGGCTACTCAACCATTTACTCATTTATCAAACACGCATAGTCAATAAACTACAACTGATTGCCTTCTCATTTTAGTGATGAGATTCAATCCAGGATTAGAAATCGAATGGATAATTTTGTGAACTTTAATGGTTTCTAATTTTTCGGTTGCTAAACTATCTAAGCAATTTATCTAAATTGTTTTGATTAAATTGTTCACTCTCTATATTACGATAGATAGGAAGATAAAAACGAATCTAAACCTTCCATTTTGATTATTATTTGTAACATGAGTATGCTTTCTTTTGCATATATATATTGCAGAGAATTCTGTTCTGCATATCATCAACTAGGCTTTAATTGCACGCAAAGTTCTCATTTATTGTTCTCATATGATGTTTTTAATTACACTTACAATTAAAACAACCAGCATAAACAATTTTATCTCTAAAAATACGTGTACAGATCCTCTGATGCAAGGAGAAGAATGTTTTTAAAGGTTCTATTTTTTGTCCAAAATATTACTGATTTGTTTCTCTGTTAATTATAGTATACGCTTAGGTTTAGCTTTTTTCCTGTTTGAAACGTCGTAAAAAAAGGAGAAATATAGTAATTATAGTGCGAAGAATGGTTAAATAGCAGTTATATGCGTTTTAATAACTAATTTTAAGAAATCTACTGTACAAATGCTTGTTTTCATATAAAAACAAACTAGTTGATCTTATGCAGTGATTCACTATCGAAGTAAGTTTTGAAAATGCTTTGAAGATTGTTGAGGAAACGTCCACCGTCATGTGTAGACGCTTGGTCCCAAGCTGTACGTGTCTAGTGAATCTCCCAGTGAATTTAGAAGTAATAGGATAAAAAAACTCAGAAAAAACTATATACAAATGGTTACCATGATCTAAACAGAGATTTTTGGATCTACTGTGTTTTATAAAGTTGTTGAGAAATTATGCTCGCTCAGACAATAAACATGCTCTGAAGTAAAAACAACATTGACAACGAACATAACTTGTAGCAGAAAGCATAAACGATGATAGTATACAACAGGCCATAGTAACAGAAAGGAAAAAAATGGAATTATTTTGTTTCTACTACGAGTGCACCACACTGATTTCAGAGTATATCATAAGTGGCCTTTATTTTCCTTACTTTTTTCTAAGATTTTGGTTAAGTTTCTTGAAAAATTTCAAAAATCCCGAAAACGATAGCTATTCAGCATTAAATTAGCAAATGTAGGCTGATGAATGGAACACAAAGTTTAAAAATTAGGACGAAATCTTGGAAACAAAAGTTTCACACAATTTATATTGTCTTGATTTTATAAATTTAGAAGAGTTTTCTAGTAAAACCGCCTAATTATACCTGATGTTGATATTCTTCCTTAAGCGTCACCATGAAGTGATTAATTAAGAATATCACGGACACTTGTAACCTTTTTGTTTAGGTCAATTTGTTCTCACCTGTCTATATAAAAATTCATAATTGAGTCAGTTGTTCGTTGAAATGATACATGTTAACTAATGCGGAGTGTTTTCCAAGTAAATGATAGCAGATGACGTCAAAAACTGTAACTCACCTTGTTCTAAGAATGACCGAATTTCTTTTTCTCCCCTAGAATACTGTAGAAGTTTCAAATGCCATTTTGATTTTGCCACTGTTATATATATATATATATATATTGATGAGCTTTTACTTTTTCTCGCTCAAACTGTTCATGAATTACCTCGTATAACATATTTTCTTAAGTTCCTAACGGAACGATGTCATATCCTTTAGGCTGCTTTGAAAGTAAACTGGATTCTTAGTCAAGTTTTAGTCTAAGTAAAAAAAAATGACTAGACTGTATTTCTCTATGGGCAGCCAGTAAAAAAAAAGGGAAATTAAATCTTCTGAATAGGCCTCATGAGCGAAAACTAACGTATTTTTAACGCGAAACTAATTACTTATGACACATGCAATAAGAGTTATTTATTGGGACATCCTACTTTACCTTCATTTGACCCATGTTTGCGCTTATCTACAACCTTAGATGAGTGTACACACCTTCTGAGATTAAATCCAGCACCAATAATTGGCGATATCATATGATTCAACATTACGCACAGTTGCTTGTTGTAACGGGGAGGTGCTGCATGCCAAGTAATCCACAACGGGAAACTTACGGAAGCCTTTGAAGTGAGGACGGGAGTAGGGTAAGGCTGTCTATTATAGCCAATGATCTTCCTGATTGCAGCAGATTGGATAATGCGACAGACAACGGGCAATGAGGAAACAGGCATAAAATGGACTCACACAAAAAACTTGGAGGATCTGGACTTCGCCAATGATATATGTCTGATTTCCCACAAACTGGAAGATATGCAAATGAAAAGCAGCAAGCTGGCAGAAGAAGCATCCAGAGAGGATAGGACTTCAGGTGAACATAGATAAAACAGAGGCGATGAAGATTCCTGGTCAACACCAATAGCAACAACAACAACAGACAACAATCAGCATAAATGGGAGGAACCTGAAAGAAACAACCTCCTTCACCTACCTGGGAAGCATCGTTTCAACTACAGGCCAACGGAACTGACGAGGATATCAAAGCCAGAATCGGAAAAGCAAGACAAGCTCTAATTACTCTCAAGTCTGTGTGGAGGTCAACAGCATTACTCAGCATTAAAAATAAGATCCGGATTTTTAACTCCAATGTGAAGTCAGTGCTACCCACTATACGGATCAGAGACTTCACCGGCGCGTCATGAAGAGCATCTCAAACAAACTTCAGACCTTCATTAACAGTCGATCTCGCTCAATACTCAAGATCAGATGGCCAGAAAAGATCAGCAACAGGGATCTCTGGGAGCGAACGAACCAGGAACCGATTGTGAAACAAATAGGCAGAAAGAAATGGGGATGGATTGGCCATACGCTGAGGAAACCATCAAGTGACATCACTAGACAAGACATTGCTCGAGTGGAATCTGAAAGGGAAGCGGGCGGCGAGCTGGTCGTCGGTGCAAGGGTGAATTGAAGGAGGTCATGTGAAGAGGAGATGAAAGCATGTGGTCTGACTTGGAGTGAGGTGGAAAAGTTGGCAGAAAACCGAACGCAATGGAGACGCACAGCTGAAGCCCTATGCTCCTCTAGGAATTAAAAGATATAATATTAATACTTGTTGTGACGACTTTCGATCGGTTAGGAGAAAGGTATAAACACCAGAAAGTAAGTACCACCAGCAATGATTCCTCAGGTGGTGACTGGGGTGTACTGTGATATCAATGAATCGTATATCTCTATTGTTCACAGAAATCCTCATTTCACTTTCACAAATCATTGCTGTATCTCAAGTTATTCAAACGGCACAGTCATCCGTTCTGGGATTACGTCGGGTTATTGTAGTCTCTTATTAGGTTTAACTAACTTATGTAGGAAAACATGAAAGTTATATTATTAGTCTTTGAATAAAACACACAGGATGTGGACAAATACTTACATCCGCATCTTGTCACTAATCAAGTTAGATCCTGAAACGAAATCAGTTAGAGAAACATTTAAAACTAAAGAGTATTGGACGACTGTTTTGCATCAATTTAGAGCTGTTCATCAGTAAGCGGAATCAGCTATTCAGTACTCCTTGTTTTACAATGGTTCTCTACCCGAAATAATTTTAGGACTAATCAAATCCTTGTGGAACCTCGATTGAAGATTTACTTCTGTTTACTTTTCTAGTACATATAGTAAGTTTATATAACAGTATCTAGCGTGTTGACATAATTCAGATAAAATACTATTTCATTAGCTAGACAGGAGATTTACTTACAAAATCTCAATATCAGAAATCAGTGAATTATAATACTGATGATTAGTTACTTTTATTTTTTCCTTTTTAAAGAAGCATGTTTGTTAATTTTGCTTTTCTTTCTGGTAGGTAAATCATATTCCTAACTGTGGATTGTTAACAAACAAGCTTGGTTTATTGCTTAGTCTTCGTGATTATGAAAGACGTTATCAAAACAGGTATGGTAGACTTCCTATTATGGTGATGGATGACTTTTTTCCCACAACATTCATTGTTGATGATCCTAAGGAACGTGAAGCTTATTTAAAAATACATCAAAGTAAGAATTCCTCCTTGAAAATGCCTTTTATTTAATTTTAAAAAGAATGGTTACTGGAAAAAGAATGCTCCTTCCAATAACTTCATCATCAGGTTCTACAGGTATATATATATATATATAATAGCGAATGAATTATTGTTATTAACAACAAAATTGTGTAGATAACACTGAATCAATAATATTAGTAGATTACAGTTCAGTAGCATCAACATCACAATAAACTGAATGTCAGAAAAAATAGTAAAGACAATAATACAAATTCATGAATTTATAGTTTCTACTGAAAGTCAGGGCAATAGTAGGGGCTGGACTTGCTTCTTTTGCACACAAAGCACTGGTTGTTTAGAGCGAATTGCAATAGCCTCTGCTGTTTGGAGCATGCGCTTCCTCGATGTTTTTGTCAATTTGTTTGGTACCCGGTAGATGATAGAAAAGGATTCATCAATGCTTGCTTTATGGCCGGTTTGGACCAGGTAGTCTAATATCGAAATGTTGATGGTTGTTACTACACCTTTACTTAGCTATACTTGTAGATGTTTTCGAGCACGAAAAACCAAGTCCCTAGAGCACCGGCAAATATAATTATTTGTTATTTATATATTAATAAACACATTCTGTTAATAATCAACCCTGAAAAATACTAACTTGTCATAATTGTTCACATCTTAAAAACTGACAACAGGCTGTCACTGAAAGCAACGAAATAATCACATTTTTTCGTTGACACATAAAACTCAACAACTCCCTAGTATTTTATACTTTAAATGTCTAACCAGTAAATTCTAGGTGGACAGAAAACAAGAGTACTTGTTCTAATGAGTATATTTTTAGTTACATTTAACAACAGTTATTGAATTAGTTGTGTTCTCTGAGCTGGTTGATTTAACTGCGAAGCTTTCATTGTCAGAGAACACAACTAATTCAGTATCATCCACCTGAGCTACAAATTTTCTCCATTATTTCATCACCCTAGTTATACGTGGATAATTACAGAAATAATCTTGGTCTGTAGTATTCATTATTTTCAAGTTCTCACTAAAACTTTATTTGAAGTAGCGTAAAGTTTAGTTTAGTTCTCAAAAACCAAATGTATTCAATAACATTAATTTGAAGATTCATCACGAATTCACTCAATTTGGAAAACCACTGAAAACGACGGAATACAAGGCAGCCGGTTTTTCTCTGTTTGAGATTCTTCATGAGAAGTGTTGAGTCATTGGACTCTGCTCCAGTGGCTCAATGGTCTACAAGTTCATTGTGTAACCTAGATTCGATCCTTAGTAGGGTCATGGTTGTTTGCTGATGAGGAGTTCTGGAGTGAGACGAAATGTCTGTCCAGTACTCCTCGGTTTACAGTGGTGCTCTAAATGAAATCAGTTCATGATCATTCTTGAAATGAATGCTTGAACGTTAAAGTGGTTTTATTATGTTTTTAACCATCAGTCCTTGTAATAAGAATATCACATTAAAAGTAGAAATTGGTTTAATATTGCTTGCAACGAATTCAGACCACGAAGTGGGAGTTCGAATACTGATAGAAAACCGTATCTTCACAAACTTTCAGGTTTTTCCTGCTGAAATTGACTTACAATACAAGCTTTCAAATATAGAAATGGTGAGTTATTCTGGTGAGTACTGGGAAAAATTTTAGACTTGTGACGTAGTGAGTCTTTGACAGTAATGTTTTCGGAACATATCACTGGAAACCAAATCAGACATAATGATTTAAATGGTGGAATGAAAGAAAGCCTTGAGAAATAAACCAGAATGAAAACATTTTTAGAGACACTAACATCATCAAGCTTGAGAATACCTCACAACAGGGTTAACTAAAAGTTAATGGAGAAGATAAAATAAGCTTGTATAGTAATTTATAACATGTAAATGCTCAATAAAGCAACTTTACTTCTGGACGTTCCACATATTAATTAGCGGAGAGTGGGAAAAATCTTCTTTATAAGCAAAAGCTTATACATTTTATTAGCTATTATAGTCATAACATAAACAGGCATTATCACAGCAAGGATTTCTGGAAGATAATTAGTATGATAATACATTTCAGTATTGCGAACACCATATTAAATACATATTGATAATTTCACGATTACAAATATACTTAAGTAGTACTACTGTGATGTATTTCTAACCTTTTTTTCGAGAGGTGATGTATCAAGTTTGTGGATTTGCAAACCAATCGGTCAAAATCAAGGTAAAGGTATATTTTTAGTCAGGGATATTGAAGCGTTCAAAGTTCAGTTACAAAAGAGAGATGAAGAAGCACGTAATCAACCATCTGGACTACCACCAAGAATAATTCAAAGGTAATACATATTCCATTCGCCTTTTTCAATTCATTGAAATATAATGAAGTGTTGAGGTCTTCAGGTTATTTAAAGTGTTGAATTTTGACAATAAGTAAAGGTGTATTTAAAGTAGCTATTAGAAGAATAATTTTGGTCCGCCATTTTCTATACTCACGTAAATTTTCAGAAACAAATTAGATTCAGTTAAAAAAAATCACAGATTTTCACTGAATTTCTGCTTTAATGTATTCATTTACAATACAAAGATTTTAAATGCTGAGAAGTAATCGACAAGAGTCTCTTATCTTCTACGTGGACATTTAAACACGCTGAAGCAAACAGACAAACTTTTAAATATTCAAGTATTGGTTTGTAGGGGTTTGACTGACTGGTTACGGGAATTCCTCGTGAGCTGACATTGGTCGGAGAACCATTGGAAAACGTGCAGAGAGTGCTGGACAGCTGTTTGGTCCTAGTTTGGGACTCCTCATCAGTACGCAGCCACCGTGGTTGGAATCCAGGACCTTCTCATTACTAGGCGAGCTCGTAGACCACGGCCAGTCCATGAATTCTAACTTCTTCCAATTTATGACATAGAGCGACCTCCAGCTAATGTCTTCGGTGAGTATTCGCCCTTGCACCCGACCTGCTGCACCCTACTGGTCACGGTTTCTCACTAGAACCCAGGTAACCACCTACCTGAATAGGGCCAGTCGCCAATGGTTCTCTAACCAGTGTCAGCTTATAACTAAATCCTGAAACTTTTAAGTAGTCGGTTTTTGATAAATACCACCTAATTCACTCGATTTTTTAAGTCTGAGAGAGCTCAAAATTCCATTCGGATTCTTAAAAGCATAGTGACGTTAATAATAATTAATAATGGAAAATAAAGATAACACAGAAGGGTTTGAAAAATGTTGTCTTTATGAAAGTTCGTCTTAGGTTTCATTGAAAGTCCATAAGTATATTTTAATCAATTTCCTGGGAAATGGTGACATTTGTGTTTGCCACTTACCTCATAGTAAAATATAGGAGGATGACCAAATAGCATTTATGAATCCATATAAGTTCAAAACTTAACGAAATAAAAATATAGTACAGTGAACTACAACCCAGGACTTCAAATTGGCTTTTGTTATATACTAGTTAACATCATCTAAAAACACTTAACGTCATTAAACATCGGATAAAGGCTCTTCAGGACATAGAAAACAAAAATTATTCACAGGGTGAGGATGTTAAGATGTAACCATTAGATGGAAGACTTGAGGTCAAAAACAACTAACCATTTTCACTTAGAAATATAATGGTTACCAACATCCAACATCATCTGTTTGTATTAGTCTTCACACTGGATATCGTGAACCTCGTCGGCTGTAATTTTTGGTAAGAGCTTTGTCAAACACATCATGAAGATAATAACTGATAGATAGGTGGTTAAAAATTCAGATGTTAGACGAAGCTTGATCTTTTACTAGGTTGTATAGTCCCATTTCAGTGTCCCAAAAACAGGATCCAATGACAATTCAGTGCTTGCTAGTTCACCAGTTATTGTTAGTAAGTGAAAAGCTTTCTTGAAATCAATCAAATACGACTCCTGAGAAAAATTGCCGAAATCTGAAGTTTTAACTACTAAAGAATTGTTGTACATACAATAATTTGTTGATTCGCGTATTCTCTCTCTTATACTGCATATTTTTTTTATTCTTTTACGTTCCCAGTGGAACATAGGCTTGAAGTTTATGTAGTAGTGGTGATTATTTTTATAGGATGGGGTTGCTATCCCCATGCCCAACTTTCCCTCTTTAGCAGTCTTACTACTGGCTTAGCGAGGTAAGGTAATGTTAATAGCTTTATCAAAGTATTATTAAACCGGAATTTACAGAATCTCAGCATATATATAACAAAGAGTTAAGAGGTGATAAAAGAGACTTAGGTTAAGTTAAAAGGACATATGGAAATTCAAAATATCAATGAAGATCACTAAACCAAATATCAAAGGTATTAGTACATCTGTTATAATATCAAAACAAAGTTTACTAACTTGATCATCGTTCGTTAGTCTGGGATCATTTTTCGTTGTCAAGTCGGTTAACTGGTAGAGATAACAAAATCAAGTGTAGATTGTTGGATTTGATCAGTGTGACATTATAAAAGTAGTGTGTGTTTGCTTAGTGAACTTGCTTATCACATTCGTGTTGATTTTGTCACTCCGTTGGGGAGGGGAGGGAGGTGTTGTAACCATGTCAGATTCTGTTTTAGTCCATCATTCCTGTTCAGACAATTTGGATTCCACTTGATATGGAGTGCTTCTGATATCAGACGTTCTTTGTGATTCCTGAAGTTTTTCTGGGTTATTTTGATACTGTCAAAAACAATTTTGTCGCCTGATTCTGTAGCATGTAGACCTATCGCTGATGAATTTTCAATTTTTTCTGGTTCAACCGGGTTTCTCGGTGGTCGAATAGATGCTCTACGGTGTTCATTTCTTCTGATTTTCTCACCCCTTAACTCTTTGTTACATATATGCTGAGATTCTGTAGATTCAGGTTTAATAATACTTAGATAAAGCTATTAGCATTAAATAGTGAAACGTCAGTAAAAACAATATCGTTTTGTTTATCATTCATTGGGAAATACAAACACCTTTATCATAATGAATATCATATACCAAATGCCCAAATATTTTCAAACAGTTAAAAGTGAAATTGGTTTGGAAATATATAAAACAGCCATCTGCACCATGTGACGCAGAGCTGTTCGATCTGAAGTATAAAATAATCCTTTATAGTATTTATCTTTGGTCCCCCAGAAATGAGCCACAGCAGGTTGCAAACTAATTAAAAATGCGCATGAGTACATATGGCAGTCTACGGACACAATTGGATAATTATAACAATAGAAATTTTTAAAAATAAGATGCATTGTCTAGGTTGGAAATTCAGGCAGCTAAGTGATTCAAGCAGGCCTCAGTTATTGAAATAAGACTATTGAAGTATACACTGCTGTTCATTAATTGTAAATACAAAGATAACCACTTTAAGATCCTGGTAGTTGTATTGTGTTTATGTCAGAATAGAATTCTTATCAAACATGATAAGTTTAAATAAAATCAAGTGAAACCAACCCAACTGGAAACACGAGAAAGTGGCGTTTGTGACTAAAGTACACTTCTCCCTTCGATAAACGATTGAGACTATAAGCTACACGCTAACTTCAAAGCTAGACAATCTTTTACACTTTGCAGAAGTAACGTTTATTCATTAATGGATAAAAACGAGTTAATTACTTAACACCATACAATCTAATTCGTAAATGTTTTTCTAGGCCAGTCTAACTGATTATTTTTAATGGGATTTCAGCTAAGTATCTTTTTTTTCTACAAAATATTAGTAGTAACGCGACCTTTCCTTCGAAAATTCCTAAAGAAGACATGGACAATAGTAAAACTATCAAAATTGATATCTACCTCTCCTAAATGTGCTTGACATTACATACTAATGGACAGTATGTAATGATATTAACTCTGTCGATCAAATGAAATCTTAAAATTCTCCATAGTCAGTAGCCATTAGTTTATATACATCCAAAAATGAAGATTAATTCAGTTAAATAAATAGTTTTTATGGTGTTTAAGTTATAGACATAGTGATCATTGTATATTATTTTGATAAATTTTAGATATATCATCAATCCATTACTTCTGGATGGTTGTAAATTTGATATTCGATGTTATATTCTTATAGCATGTACAATGCCTTATTTGGTATTTTATCATCCTGGTTATATTCGACGTTCAGCTAAACCATATTCAAGTGATGATCCAAACCTTGTTACACATCTCACTAATCAGGTAAGTTTAGTGACAGAGTCTTATTGAAATTTTCAAGTAGATTATTATGATTATTCTTATACAAGGTTGAAAAATCGAAGATCATAGATAATTAGCTGTTTAATGTCCGTTTTAATCAGACTAAAAGGTATAATTTCGCTGTTTCACTGACGACAAAAGAAAATCGTGTTCCGAGAGCATTTTAACTTGTACGCTTGACATACAAAATTTTAAAGTTATGAATAACCCCACTTAGATGCGAAAAAATAGACAAACAATAGTTATTCTTTGTTGATAAGTTCCAAATTTCTTAACAACGTTTATTAATTGAAGTCTAGACACATGGAAGATAAGTTCGCTTGATGATAAAACACAGTGAGACGTCAGTAATTAGTGGATGGGGTTTACGAGCACAATTTATTGCTCATAATCATATTAATATATCCATACGACTTTGACTTGCTTGGTAGAATTTTTAATCCCTACTCCTGTTGAAACCATATGGTTATAATCAATTAACTGTGTTCAAAACGTCACTCAGTTGTTCATAGTGCATCACTTTGTATTTCGTCAAATAAACTTTTAGATAAAACTAAATTCTACCCCAATTTTTGAATTCTACCTTTAGAATGAAACCTTAGTCAAAATTATCCATTCAGTAACAGGCTTACATATGGTACATGAGTTCATTGAACTATTGGTCTATTATACCTAAGATTATAATTTAGAATAAATTGTATATCTTCCTAGTGAATTATATTACAAAGAGAATTCGAATGGTATTTCAATTCTTTTATTTGCATTTTTTTCACCCAAAAATTACCTTTTTCAGTTTGTTCAGAAAAAGGATCCAGGTTATTCTGAAATTAAAAACAATACAGTCTGGAGTTGGACACAAGTTAATGACTATATTAATCAACATTATCAAGAAGAAAAGAAGTTACCTGTTGATTGGGCGAAAACAATTCTTCAGGTAGTTTAATAAAACACTTACTATTCATCTGCTATTTTTCTTTTGGTGTGATTATGTTTTTTGAGCTAGGCGATTTAACTGCAGAGCTTTCATTGTCTATCTGGACAACATGTTCAGCGTGTACTTTAATGTTGAGATGCATCATTGCCTACAAGCATCAAAACAGTTGTTGTTTTTCTGTCATATATGATATTACTAACTCTTAATTTCATACAGCCAGTTACCTTTATTAGATTGAATTAAGAAAAAAAAACATGTTTACAGGATAATACGACCTTGTTTTATTTCATGGATTCTCTTCAGCTGCGTAAATCTTAGATAAGTCAATTATATGTTACAAGATGGTTTTTGAACATACTTCTTACAATGATTTCAAGTTATATATGATGTAAGTAGACTTTGATTTTATGTTAAAAGAGTAAGTATTTATATGGTAATTAGACAAAGGGGTGGAGTTCAGATTTCTCTTGGAAACAAAGATGGACTAGAGACAAAATACAAGATAGAACAACAAAGTTAATTTATACTTATTATGGTGCGGAGTTCAGGAGGGTGGGGTTAAATAGTGAAGTAAAACTATAAAAAAAGATAAAACAGTGTAATTTAGTACATCTAGAACCTTAACAGGGAACTCAACTCAGTGATCTTCTATAGTTGGTTTGTAAGGATTAATTTTGATTTTCATGAGTTGTTCACAGATTGGTATCAGTTAGAGAACCACTGAAAGCCAGGGAGAACTGGACAGCCGCTGTTTCATCCTAGTTTGGGAATCATCGGTAGTACGCACCCACTGGGGTTCGAACTCAGGACCTTCTGGTTACAAGGAAAGCTCGTATACCATTCAGCCATTCGGACCCGATTCAATGGCCAACCCATGAATTCTAACCCTTACCAATTCATGATTTAGTGGACCCCAACCAATGTCACCAATGATTCCCAAACTAGGATGAAAAGGCTGCCCAGTGCTCCCTGGTTTTCAATGGTTTTCTAACTTATATCTATCCGTGATCAACTCAGGGAGTCAAAATCAAAATCAAGATTGACTGAAATTATTTTGCAACAGAACAAAGTACAAAAGTAAACGAACAAAAAATTATAATTACTAGGGTAGTGAGAGACTACTTCCATTCTCTTTCTGTATTCAGAGGTTGGGTCGAAGTCTCTTGATAGCAATAGCTTCTGAAAAGCGAAGTAACCATGCGTTTTTCTGTGCACTAATTATTTTGAAAGTCTGACTAATTTCCACTGTATGTCCGGTGTCAATTAGGTGTCCTGCAATTGAGCTTGAGAATACTTTGCTGGCTTGGAAATTTTACTCCATTATTAAACTCCACCCTCATGAACTCCCCATCATAATATGTATAAATTAACTCTGTATTTTATCTCAAGTCCATCCTTGATTCCAAGAGGAATTTGAGTCCACCCCTTTGTCTAATTACTATATAAATAGTTACTCTTTTAACACTGAATAGTTGTCTACTTACGTCATCCTTGAAATTATGGTGCTCATACTTTCTATCTATGACTTGAAATCATTGTAAGAAGTATGTTCAGAAACCATTTTGTAACATGTAATTGATTTATTTAGGATGTATGCAGTTGAAGAGAATCCACGAAATAGAATGATCTCGTATTATCCTGCAAATATGTTATTTATTTCTTTATTCTTAGGAAAATCCTTAAACTAACAAGGCTTCAAAAACAGAAGATACTCTGTAGTAGTCTAAAGGGAAGTTATTTTAGACAGAGCAATTTACTACAATATTGTTAAAAATACCTATATGTACTTCTTTTTGAATGAATTCATGTGATCCTTTTTATGTCCACAATATTTTCTTTCAGTGTAACGTTTTTAATGTTCAATATGAGTTCCGGTAAAAAATATAAAAGTGAAATATCATACCTTCCATTTTGTTTTTTAGTGGAAAATTCAAAGAATTATTCATCATATTTTCACTACGGTAAAAAATCGTTTAGCTGCAAGAGTTGGATTATTTGAACTACTTGGTCTAGACTTTATGTTGGATGAAAATATGAAGGTGAGTCTACTGTGAATGTAAACCAACAGCAAGATAAAATATACGGCATGGAAAAGTTATACATATTTTACTGAATGTATTAGAGTTACTTGCGTAGGAGGAAGTTTAACTTGAGGCTGTCTTATCGTAAACAACGATATGTACGAGTAAGCTCAAGATGAACTCTTCTACTTAGCAATTTATTTATGCATTCTAGCAATATATTACACTTATCTTCGTATAACATAAAAGTATTGTATCGCGTAGGAGAAAGTTTAACTTGGGCTATCTTATCGTAAACACGATATTACGAGTAAGCTCAAGATGAACTCTTCTACTTAGCAATTTTATGCATTCTACCATATATTACACTTATCTTCGTATAACATAAAAGTATTGTATCATGAATAATCTAGTTAAAAGGCTTTCAGATATTGTTACAGTATAAAAATTATTTGATCAGAAATGTAGTATTATTTTAATTGGTGTTTTGTGTCAATATGAAAACGTTCTGTTGCGTGGAGAACAAATATCACTTTATCTTAGCTGCTATTACTTTTTGAGCTTTATTATAACGAAATTCAATTTATTAGCTGAAATTTTAAGTCTGTTGTGTACGTTTCTACTTGTTAAAAGTATGTACGTTTCTACTTCTTTTCGAGATCAAATGTCCTACAAGTGGGTAATCGGAGAGAGACATTAAGTGAATCCATCTAGTTTGTCAAGACTTCAGTATGTTGCCGTCCCAATGGTCAGTAAATAAATGAAACTGGAGTTATTATCATATTACTATTCCCTAGGTTTCTGAGTTCAAGATAGGGCTTCAACAACAAATCTACACTTTGTTCTATACTATTCCGTCCTCTTCATCTGGATCCACGAGTAACCATAATCTCATACCTCCTCTTCAAACGATCTCCTCAATGTTACCCTCAAACGGCCCACTCATCGTCTCCCATTCAGATCCTACTCAAGGGCCTGGTACGCGATGTCATTCAATGGCCTCCTCAGCGAATGCCCAATCCACCTCCATTTTCTTCTACATATTTGTTCAGCAACAGGCTCTGGGTTGGTTTGTTCTACTGCAGAGTTTCTTGTTGCTACTTCTTCCTGGCTGAGCATTTGATCTTCAACATGAAGCGAGGGCAGCTGTTGATAAAAGTCTGCAACCTATTAGGAATCCTTTACTTGACATGGAGTGCAAGTTTCTGACCCGTACAGAAGCACTGTCTGACTTCACATTTATATTGCAAATCTGAATCTTGTTCTTTATGCTGGTTGAGTGCAGAAGATTTCCAAATTGGTTTCAGATTGATGAAGGCGAATTTTACCTTTCCGGTTATGACTTTGACATCTTCATCCATTCCACTGTAGTTGAAATGATGCTTTCAAGTTAAATGAACGAGACAACCTCTGTTAAATCTTTGCCGTGGATGGTGACTGGTGCTGGGTGTTGCTGCTGTTGATTGGTTATCCTCATCACCACCATATTTTCTATGCTCTCCTGCAGGCCTATTTTTGCTGCCTATTCCACCAACCTATTAGTTTTCGAATGCAGGTTTTCGAGTTTGTGCGTCATTAAACATGAATTGTCCGCGAAATCAAGATCTTTCAGAGTTTTCTTATTAGTCCAGAGTATTCATGTCTTCTTATTCCCCATAATCTGACGCATAATCTAATCCACCTTAATTATGAATATCATCGGTGATAATAGACAACCCTGTCTTAATCTTGTATTCACTTCGAACGCCTCTTGAGATTCCCATTGGGGATCACTTGACACGTGCATTGTCATATAGCTGTTGAATGTTGTTAGGCAACAATACCTGCCTCCTGGTTCCGATAAAAATGAATTTCAGTCTACAACTTGAACAATAAAAGTAACTAACAGGTCAAAATGGTTTTGAATTTCCTGTTGACAGACGAAAATCCTCGAATCTTATAGACATGTTGGCACCTTTGATGTACACTTTGACAATCCTTCAAAGTTAACATAGTATTACTCGGATGATGACAGTCACCAGTGGAATTCAGATGTAGTCCTCTTTCGAGCCCATCAGCTGGGTGTACCTGAATTTTCCCCAGTGACACTTGAATTAGGAATTCAACTTTTCAACAGCCAAAACACTTCTCCACTAGTCCACCTACCAAATAACGTAACAAAGACCTCTGGGCACTACCACTATGACAATAAATGCCAAATATTTCGGTCTAGCAGAATCAGTCACCAGGAAGTTCAAAATCCTCAATAAATAAAACTGATAACATCTGCACAAGAAGTGGATTTTATAATCCAGTAGCCTAGTAAGTAATGATTTAGCGTTTGAAACAATAAGTGAAGGTTTCCAGTCTCACTCAAAACGCAGTGACTCAATGGGATGCAGGTACATCCAGATGACAAGTCTCGATGGGTGAGTGAGCACGTCCTTCATTCCACTGGTAGCCACCATCAACCAAGTGTGAATATCCAAATGTTTACCTATTGTGCCTTGGATCGCTTATATTTGGTTACGAGAAATAATGACACCAATCAGGTATATTTAAACAAAAAGCTTAGACCTTCATGCTGTAACTTTTCAGCATCTATTTCCCTTTTTTTCTGACAGACGTTTGTGGCTTCTCGTCAACCAAAATATCTTGTTTCAGATTTCCAATAAAAGTAGTATAGTGTCTTTAGATCTCCTCTTTTTCCATATCATGAGTGTCACTTGACATTTGTTGACGGTTTAGTACTGATTTATTTAAGAATAAAGTAGCAACTAATAAATTATTATTAAAAAATACCTCCAAAACAATAAATCGTTTATCTAAAAGCTTTGAAAAGCGAATCTTTTGATTCTGATTAAAGTCAACTGTCTAAAGATAGTGAAGCTTTAGTAGTAAATATAACAGTTGTATTTCACTTCGATTTAAGGTTTCCATTTTAACACTAAAGAGCTTGAAAACGGTTGCATCAAAAAATACTTTTACCTACTCTGAATAAAGTCTACACATTTGATGCCCTAACATTTTCAATAGTGTGATTCCACGCATGTTCACAATTAAAATACGCCAGCATTTCGTCTAAGTGTTCAGCTCATTTTATCAACTATTGATAAAAGTAATTGTGATATGTATTACTAGTTTATGTATTAAGTAGGATTATTTCCAATATAAATGAGAGCATCTGGTATTAGATGCTTAAAAGTAATCAGCAGGAAGCCTTGAACCTAGGTTTCGTGCTAGTTGGCACTCAACAGTCAGTAAAGCGTATCTAAAACCTCGATGGAGCTCATGTCTCTTCTGATATTCGAAACCGTATCACACAGTGCTGCAGTCAGAGATGTAACTACTAAACTATTCAGGCCCACGACTGACCGCCTGTTATTTCAGTTTTATTAAGCGACATAAAGTGTAAATAATTACGGCATGTTTTTCATACTTTTGATTAGGCTGAAAAAATTCTTTATAGAGCATTTTTTTGTAAAGGGCATAACGTTTCATTTTCTTTATTCAGGTTTGGTTACTTGAAGTAAATTCCAATCCAGCATTACAAACCCACTGTGATGTCTTAAAAGAAGTTGTACCAGTTGTTGTGAAAGATGCTTTACGTAAGTTCAAGTAAATGTTTTTTCCCTGTAGATTAGTGGGTACTGAACAAAATAATTGTATCAGACATGGCATTTTTATTTTAGCCTTACTAAGTATGCTTTAGTAGTAGCTATGCGATTACTTGACATATACACGTTAAGTAATAGACATATAAATGCAGTTCTATAAATATTCCAATTTTTCTACTAGCATGTAAATGAAATAAGAACTTAAATCCACTTATTTGTCGAGATTCCTTCAGAAGCTGGTGTAAACAGAAGGAGGACATTGAAAAGCAGACGCGTCATGAAGAAGCCACCTGGAAATCTTACATTGATTAACGTGCAGTAAATGCTTTATCATATAACACTTATACGTTGAATACATTTAATCTACCACGAAGTTCACTAGCTAAACTATCCTTGTTAACATTGGAAGCACTTTAGAATGGAAAGTTCTCTATATTTTACTCCTGAAGCAGCATATAATGGTCATTCTACTATTAGTTTGAATGTAGTGAGATTTTCTGAAAGTTGAAATGCAATAAAAGATTACTAATTCATTGTGGTTTTGGTGGTTTAATGTGGAATTTATTGAAGAAAATTTCTGAGAAGAATAATCTAAACTGTCATTTTTAGCACCAATAATTATGTAAAAAGGCTTCTACAGTCTTCCTAGTGGTTTTATTCCTTCGTCGCAAATTTACTGCAAAATCAGTTTAATTTGTAGAATAATAACATCCGGTTGATAAGTAGACTTCATTTTAAGTAATTACTGAACATTTCCACTTCTTTAGAATTATGGTTTATCATTTTGCCTGTCAGAAGTATTGCTCTTGCCACTAGGAGGTAAAAATACTCGCATCTGTTCTCAATTCATCAAAGCATTGACATAAATGATAAGTTTCTGAACAATGCATCTAATGTTGACTATTAAGTTGAATTAGGTCAGACCCGTTTTGAGTTAGTAGTCTCATGAGATCCTGAAAAAATGCTGTTACTAAGTGGTAGGGTTTCACAAGAATTAACCTAACTATTTGTTGAAATGAAGCTCTAAAATTATTCTGATAAAGCTGCTGTTAAGCTGTGAATGGTAGTCTTTCAGCCATTCGGCATTGGTTTCATAATACCTGAATTAAGTATTTATTAACAAGTAGACTAGTGATAAACCTCTTTTGATTTTCACCTTGAGTGTACAACTTATTTTTAAGAAGAATTCAGTGTGATAAGATTGTACTTTTAGTTTTTATCAACTAAGTTTTAATTTTTCTCTACCTATGTTTATCAATTTATTTAGATATAAGCATCGAATGTTTTGAGAAAAGTCGTCATCAAAAGTGTTTACTTCCTCTTCATGGACTTGAAGATTCATCAGCCTTCATTTTTTGTCAAAGAAGCAACAGATATGCAAGATTTAGTTGGGATGATACTCCGGTTATTAACAAAACCAATGGTGATTTAGGTTTACCACGTGGTTGGAATTTACTTTATAGTGAATCACAAGCTGCTTTCCGTGCACGCTGGCCAACTGTCCAGTCTTGTAGTCTTCGTAGCTGGATTCCACCAAGATATAAACCAGCATTAAATCAGGTCAACTTTGAGATGAACGAACAAAATAAAGAAAGTCATACATTATCTCAAACAATGAAGTCTACTGGTGTAACAGATGAAAATTTAAAGAACGCAACAACAGTGTTGAATGAAAATGAGGTTAATTATACGTCTAATGAACGAAACAGTCTACAAAACAGTAATACCAGACAATTATTTTATCCGCGTACATCTCTACCAGAATATAGAACATTTGAGTACAGTTTGAGACGTTATCCAGTCATACCTAATTCAATGAAAAATGTTAGATTACCCAGACGAAGGATTATTGCCAGTCAATCATTTAAAAGTTCCAATGAAAATACGAATGTTCAAGATGTATTAAAAACGCTTGCTGAAACTGAATCTCTTATCACAGTAGGTAAACCTAATAATCACATCATCACTTTTGATGATAATAATAACAGCAGTAATAGCACCAGAACCAATAATAATCGTCAAATATTAACTTATCAGAGTAGAAGGAAAGAACGATCCTTGTCGAATACAAATAGTCTTAACTCCAAACATGAATCAGATGTTCTTAGTGAAGACGAGATCTTAACTGGAAAGTCAATTAAAAAAACCAAACTAAAGATATTATCCATACACAGAGAACCTATTCACATGGGTACAGTTCATTTAGTTACAAAAGCCGACATTGATAAAGCATTCAACGATACTAATAGCAATAACAAGTCAAGCGACATCAGTAATAATAATACTGAAGTTGCTCCACTGAGTATAAATACAAAACGAGGAAGTCAGTTAACAAGAACTAACCATTCATCGGCTGGTGGTGCATATAGTTGTAATAATATTCAGAGTAAATTTACTGATAAACGTCATAATAACTCAAAGAAGCTAAATTTTATTGAGTCTAGGAGTTCACTTCCATATGTTTATGGAAATAAAGGTTTAGAGAAGAATATAAGAAGTCGCATTATTCATCAGAAGACAGAGGAAGTTAACAGACTAACTATTATTGAATATAAATAACCATGACATTTAAAGAGGATAGTTATATTCATATTGATTTTAATGTGATTTAAAGCGCAAGTTCTATTTCCTATTAACTGCTTTTTATTCCGCTTCACAATAGATTGTACATTTTTAATACTCCATGTGTGTGTCGTCCAGTGTCTGTCTAGGATTTTATTCACCTTTGTTTTATTTCATATGGTTTGAAATATTGTTACATAAGAAATAGTTATATGCGTATTACGCAATTTTGTCGATTCTCAGCGATTCGATTTCAAAAATGTGATATTTATGATACATTTGCTTTATTTCATACACAATATGTACATATTAGAAAAAATTTTTTCTGTTAATATTCCTAGTCAATTTTATTGTATAAATATCATAGAACTTTCATTTATTTTTCTCTAGTTTTTGATTTTCCTCTCATGAATAAATAACAATTGTTATTGTCATCAGTATCGTTTTTATACGCTGATGATGTATTTGCAAGATTTGTTCACTAAGTATATTATATTGCTTTGTGTTCTACTTATGAGACATGCTTATACACCATTGACATCATGTGAATAATTCACGGGTGAAATCAATCATTAGTAATAGCTATCTAGGCTTGCCAACTTGTATGCATTTTCGCCTACAATTGTAACTTCTGTTTATTGGCCTATACTTCTCCTTGTTCTTTCCTCTGTGTTTACAGATATTTTAACAATCTCGTTAACACCTATAAAAAAAATAATGATAATAATTAGTGCCTAATTAAATTTTAAAGCTCATTATTTAATTTGAATAATTTCATTTCCAGGACTCTGCTGGTGAAAAAAAACTGTTGCATAGAAAATCATCAGATGCGTACACTGTTGTATCTGTGTATCTCATCAATGCCTTTTGTAAGGTGTCATTCCATGGACACAGCATAACCCTTTTCAACACTGAAGGCAGAATAGACTGAATAACTGATTCTCGAATGAATTCAAAAATAATGATTACGTATGCATATATACATATTTTATTTAACAACTGATTTATTCAACTAATGTAAATAAGGTGCAGAAGGTCACGTGTGAGGACAAATACTCGCTGAAGACATTGGCTAGCAGTTGCGATATGTCATGAATTGGCAGAAGTCAGACTTCATGGGCTGGCCATTGGATCGGGTTCCAGTGGCTTAATGGTATACGAGCTCGCCTTGTAACCACAAGGTTGTGGGTTCGAACCCGGTGAGTGCATACTGATGAAGAGTTCCAAACCAGGAAGGACGAAATATCTGTCCAGTAATCCCTGGTTTTCCAATGGTTCTCTAACCAACGTCATCTCATGATGAAATCCTGTAACCAATCAAATCCCTACAAACCAACACTTGAATAATGTCAAATTGTTTGACAGAGCCCCAGCTTGACAAGGAAGCATTTATGATAGGATGGTATTAACGCCCAGAAGAATGGTGTTAGTTTCGTTATAGGTCCCAGATCCTCTTTATCACTGTAGACCTGTTGGTCGATATATACTGATACATGAAATTCAGCCGGACTTTTGGTTATTATATATCACCTATTTACATTAAGTACGGTTCTGATATTGTTTCTCATGTGTTTCGCATCTTACGTATTACATGTAAGTCATCAAAGTCATCAAAAATTGTAAGATCTGATGAAACATTTCCTAGACTTTCAAATTTCGGTTGTCGCATGCGTAGTACAAATGGCTAGAAGAGTTGGCGATGCTTCACAAACTATCTAAGAATAATAAGCTTTGTTTATGCAGACAATTTATGTCAATGTAGTGAAAAGAAAATATAGCATTACTAGTATCATTTCATGGTGAAACCATAGATTTTTACATTTGAAAATAACTTTTCAAACTGATTCGTTTATAAAGATAGGAAAGCGCGTAAACTTATGAGCTGTTTACATCTTGTATGTAACCAGATGTCAAGGGATGCGAATCTTAATCAAATTCACAGCCACGTTTTTTAAATGTAACCAATTAATGAGAGAAATAACATCGGTTTGAATGACTTATTCTAGATTAATTTTCCTAATAAATACAGAAATTTTGAAAACGTGACGGAATAGCAAAGTTAAGCCTTCATGAACTTGTAACTCATGGAATCGTAAACACAAGAAGATTTCACTATGCATTATATAATATACTTGTTTACAACTGTATTTTACTGCTGTATTGTACTGAAGACAATATTTTGTGTGGAAAAGTCAACACGATTTTCACTTCTCCAATAACCTTGTATGATTTTATCAAATCTTCCGCTTTTGATTGGAATATTATTCATCAGACTAACTGTTATCTTGTCTTACTGTTATGCTAAATTTTAACAATAATTTGAGATTGGAGGCTTATCGTCTAGCTATTCTCAGTAAAAGAGTCTATACTAAATCAGAGTGAAGTACTTTTTTCATCCCTTTGAGTTCTGAGGGGAACATAAGGCTTCACCCTTGAGCTTTAAGGTTCCAGTACCAGTGGAATTTTTAGGTGGTAGGGTCTTTAGTCTCATGTCTAATCCCCCCTTCCAACTGGATCTACTCCTGACCAGACGAAGTAAAGTTTGGATCGATTGCTAATCAAACCCTGAGCCATTTGATTTCGTGGCAAGCATTCCACAAATGATACATCGACTAAAACACTACTGCTACATAAAATGATAGATAATGGACAAGTGACGTATGTACATGTATTCGGTGGAACAGAGTTGGGGTGGATCTGTTAGTGTTTTCATAAAGACTTCATTCTGCCTGATAGGAGTCAGCTAGTAAGAGAATCAGGGAGACGCGTTCCATCTTGTTGTCGTCTTCAAATACTGTGTAAAGATTTTAAAATCTATTTAAATGATTCTTAAGATCTGCAAAGACGGACAGCAGTTAGATAATAAAATAAATTTTAAGGCTTAATTTTCAAAGATTGTATTGACTTCATTTAGAAATCTACTAGAAACGAGACAGTTTTTTCCCATGTACCTAGTTTTCTTATTTATTCGTCAATTGTTAGATTAATCAATAATTCAGGGGAAAGATGATCAAATTTCTTTAAAAAGAAGTTTTTGTATTACCCAAGGAATGAAAAATAAAACTGTTAAAAGTGAACTTAGTTTGAACATATAGAATTAAATTTTCTTCCGACATCGATTAAATTGAGTATATTAACAGGAAGAGATAAACATTTTGACATGCAAATAAAGTGATGATTATCTTCTTGGAAAGCTCCTTGGATTTTTTTCAAACTTTATCAATTGATTTTTAAATGCTCAAACAACTGAATCAATAGACTAGAGGTACATGCTTCTCTTATCATAAACGAAATGTTTTTATCAAAGCGGGGTAAAACTAGGCTAAGTAAAGCAAATAGAAATTTAAAATAACTCAAAGAGCTTTAAAATAACTTAAATGTACTTCCTCGATATAAATAATCCAGCATTGCAGAATACGTAGACTGGATTTTAACTGATACTTTGTTGTTTTTAATTTTGGCGATAGAACGCTTAGGAATGAGACTTAAATGTTACCACTGAATTTATTTTTAATTATATCACTTCAGCTGTCGGTGACATTAAAAAATTCAAATAAACTTTATTTTACGGAATACCTACCATCTTAGAAGCCATATCATTTCCTTAGATGTTGGCTCTTACATTAAGACATTATCCAAGAATCTATCTTTTTAAATCTAAAATTTTTGAAGTAGTGGCTTTTAGGGATTTTGTTTGGTTGTTTGGAGGATTTTATCATGAGCTGACATCGGTTAGAAAACCATTGGAAAACCACCTGGGAGTACTAAACAGCTGTTTTGTCCGTCCTGGTTTGGGGCTCTTCAGGAGTGAGCACCCACCCCAGGGGGTTCTAACCCAGGGCTTTCTGGTTGCAAGACAAGCTCGTAGACCACTAAGCTACTGATGCGCACTAACGACTGGCCCTATTCAGGCATTTAACGTGGGGTTCCAGTGAGAAGCCATGACCGGTAGGCTACATCAGGTCGAAGGTGAGTCAGTAAGTCATTGAAGAAGATATTGAGAAGTGGTAGTGATATATTATGAATTTGTAGAAGTTAGAATTCATGCTCTGGCCATTGAATGAGTTCCCAGTGGCTCAATGGTCTATGAGCTCGTCTTGTAACCAGGTCCTGGGCTCCAACCCTGCTAGTGGATGCATACTGATGAAGAGTCCCAAACCATGACGGACGAAACAGCTGTCCAGCACTCTCTGAAGGTTTTCCAATGGTTCTCTAACTAATATCAGCTCATGATGAAATCCTTCAAACAACCGAATTTCGAAAGTCTTAAAAAAGAGTTGGTTGATCACTAACTGACTACTAGTGTGGTGATGTGATACCCACAATATGCGCCAACGGAATATTATTCTCACATATTTCCACAGTTAGATTCGGCATTAGCAACAGATTACGATATATCTGTTTGAACATTCTATTTGGTGTTAGAGACAGAATACTTTTTCCACAGTTAAATACTGCATTAACAATAAAATACTAAGTATCTTTGATCATTCTACTTCATGTTGTTTGATGTAAACTGAAATCACACGCTCGATGATTGGTTAACCAACATGAACTGTAGATATATAAACAGCGGTCTGATTAATGAAGAATATACCTTGACACCTGTGTTTTGCCTTCTGCTATTACACTAGCAGATGACTAAGACCAAATGTTTACATCCAATGAAAACTAATTATAGTCAAACAGCAGCAAAGTGCATAACCACTTAGAATCTGAAGTTGTAACTTTTCCTCTGGATTCGAAGCCGACTGACCATCACCGGCTATCATACAGGGAAGGATATATGGTTGTGTGAACCATGTCTTGGAACACAGTGCTTATATGCCCTATTTGCTTTAGTACATCGAATCAAATTAAAATCTTAAAGCTTTTTTTGTTGACTGTGGATGGAATTTGCTTTTGTTAGGCTGTAAAAACCAGTTCTTGATGATAGCTGTTTAAATAATCACTCATCACAGAAACTAAAAGCTATTGATAAAAAATATATATATTAGCAAGTTTGTTATTTCACTATGTTCTTATGAATTTTCAGCCTGATAGTATTTTCATTATCTAAATGTAGTCAGTTGAATAAAGGCATGTAAATGTCATGTATAGGAAAATATCACTGAAGCCTATTCCTCTGACGTCAATAAAACTTAATATTTTCATCTTATTCTGACATTTTAGTATGTGTTACTTCTATTACGAAGTCAATACAACAGAAAAAAAAAAGAAATCCATATCGAGTGAACTAACATTATTCCAAGGATTTTATGTTAACACAATATGCCTTTTGTTACTTTCTTTTAAAGAAAAAAAATCAAATTTTATATTGTTCTTCTGATGCAATACATGTTCTTCTAAGTAGTCAATATGTTTGGAGGCAACTATCATCTGAATTCTTGTCTGTTTTGGTAAGTGATTTAGTAACTTTACCATTGAAATTGTAACAGGCGAATAACTTTATGCCTTGCATGGGCATTGAGGAATGTACAGATGAAATGTGGGCAGGTAAGTAGGCCTTTAAAGTATCATTACAAATCACATACATTATACACATTATATAGGTTATATCATTAATCTTGTAAATAAAACTACTTATTGGTTATTACTTTTTAGTAATTCTCAATATTTTTGCCGGTATTTAACCTTAAAGTATGCCATATGGGGACAAAAGTTAAGTATAATTTTATTTGAATTTTATGTACGATCTT